GTTTAAAAGTATTATGTTTTGTTTAAAAGTATTATGTTTTGTTTAAAAGTATTATGTTTTGTTTAAAAGTATTATGTTTTGTTTAAAAGTATTATATTTTCTTTAAAAGCCTAGAGTGTAAGCTGTATCTAACATTCTTTTAGCACGTTAAACTAGTATTGTTCGAAATGTATTAGTATAGAAAGAGTAGTTTAGTAGAGTCTTAACAAAAGTAAGTAACCTAAGTGTGTAAGTAACTTGCCTATAGTAAACGTTACTTTTAACTTTTTTTAGTTTTTCTTTAGAGTATTATTAAGAGTGCCTAAAAGGTCTCTTGCTACTAGAGTAGCAGTAGTAATTTAAGACATTATTAGGGGTGCTTTAGTAGTTAGGGGTTAGTAGTTGCCTAGTAGTGTTTTAGTAGATTAGCTGCTTAAGCTGTGCTTGTAATTAAGCATAGATATACTGCTAGAGGTTAACTCTAAATCAGGTAGGTCTAGCTTTAGGTTCTGCAGACGCAGGTTTAGCTGTTAACAGGGTAGTAGTTAGTAGTTAAAGGTTAGTAGTTAGAAGTTAGGCATTAGCAGTTATCTCTAACGTACTTCACAGGCGAGTTGCTCACACACCTAAGTTGCTTACTTTTGCCAAGACCCCACTAAACTACCCTTCCTACACTAATGCATTCCCCACAACACTACTTAGACGCGCTAAAAGAATGTTAGATACAGCTTACGCTCTAAGCTTTTAAATAAGACATAAAACTTTTAAAAAAATGTGCTGTAGCTATGTACAGGGTCCTGTAAAAAACAATAAATAACTATAGCGCTAGATAACTTTTATAAGCTAATTCTACAGCTAAATTATAGAGGCTAGGCAATAAAAAAAAGCAGGTAATTGTTAAGACTATACTTAAGCTATATACGTAAGGAATTTCCCCTTAGATAGCATTTATAGCTAATATAGCTAATTCTTTGCGCGCTAAGCGTAATCTAGGCTATGTTTACATAAACTAGCCTAGTACGTTTATAAAGCG